AAGTCAAATTTAAATAAATAAATGATAAGCAAAATAAGTAATAAAGTATCTATTTTGAAATCCCAAATATACTTTTCTAGCAGTAAACGCTATTGATATAAAGACAGAACATAAATCTAATGAATAAATCAGATGAGTAAATTTCAGGGGAATGCCCCAACAGGATCTTTACTACTAAGACTGACAGGACTGCACAAATTTAAAATCAATTAACCAAGAAAAGAGACTCTATAATTTGTTTATCGGATTTCATTTGCACACTCACAAACTAGTAGATGGAATTCTGATCAAGTTTTCGACACTATTTAACTTTTTCTTTACAAATTTGATCTTCTAAATTTAACAAACATTGAAATAAGATAGTATTGAATTTCTGTAATTGCAAGTAATTTCTCCAAATCGGACACTACTATCGTATCTGTTTAGTTATCTAGAGAGTGGATGGACTACAAAATAAGAATATAGATACTGTATCAGTAAAGGATGAAAGTAAAGGATAAGAAAAGAAAGAACGCAAGACTATAATTGACAGCAACTGAGAGGTTTTTCCTCTTTTCCACTTGACAAGATAAAAGCAGACAGTGGCGGCTGGGGAATTTTATCATCTGAAATATCCAAACATCATTGTGAGACATCTGCACAACATTAGCAAAAACAAAAAGGTTTCATATTTGAGATGGAAAATATAAGTAGGTTGTGTGTGGAAATGAAGGATGGCACATTTTTTATTTGTTGTGTTATTGCCCCATTGTACTATTTCCTTCTTCCTATGGCAAAATCATTTTATTTCCAATTGTTTCCCTATGATCCCTATTCCAAATAATTTTTTTCAAAGACTGAGGAAGAATTCATCTGGAAACAGAAGTGAGGTACTTATTATATATGCTTGCTCTAATGCTGAATAAAACTCACAAAGCTTATTTTTCAGTAAAGCTGATATTTGGATGATCTACTTCACTGAACAAACATAACCTCTGTTCAGTCAAAGCAAATCTGTCTGAATCGCTTTGGGTCACTTAAAGTCCAATTATAAATCAGTTTTTCCACTACGGTATTATATATATTAATGGTAGAAGTTAGTATGTAGTTGAAAATAACAATATGTAAGTTTGTGGGGGAAGGAATTGCATAGAAAGCCAAGCTCACCCCAAACAGAAGTTCAGGAAGATAAGAGAAAGTATGCAGCAATACAGAACTGAAAGAAAGAAGAGGAAAGTTGTTTAAAAGACACTATAGAGAACTGCACACCAGAACAACTAGACACAAGAACAGTGTTTCCTCTGAATGCCATCACTCTGCTAAACAAATAATTCCTTCAACACTGTCAAACTATTCACTAAGTCTACATTACTATTACTATTAATCTTCTAATCGTTCCTATCACCCATCTCCTTCCACTTATGACTGTATGACTGTAACTTGTTGCTGTATCCTTACAATTTATATTTATTGTTTCCTAGTACGATTCAATTGCTTATTTGTTCCCTATGTCTATCATTAAGTGTTGTACCTTATGATTCTTGACGAATGTATCTTTTCCTTTTAGGTACACTGAGAGCATATGCACCAAAGACAAATTCCTTGTGTGTCCAATCACACTTGGCCAATAAAGAATTCCCTCCCTCCCTCCCTCTCCCTCCCTCTCTCTCTCTCTCTCTCTCTCTCTCTCTCTCTCTCTCTCTCTCCCGCCCTCCCTCTCTCTCTCTCTCTAGAAAATGGCATATTATTGGCTGACTTTCCATAGAGTAATGATTTGTTCTAGATTGTACCCGTTAGTTATTTTTTTGTACTCTACTATGAATTAATATACTATACATATATTGTGAATACTACATACTTGAAAGTGATGCTTGTCAATTAGCAAAAATTTCTATTGAAGAAATAAGAAAATCCAAACTGCCTTGTTTGTACAAGTAATGGAAAATGGATGAAACAATCACAGCTGTTAAAACAAAGCAAACAGATCCTGGGTCTTGGCTATCTAGGTATACTGTTAGCATTGTTATATTAATATTTTTTTAATGAGCTTAGGATAGATAATGATAAAAATGGCATCTGATGGACAATAGCCATTATTTACTCACACTAGGAAGGTATCACTACAATTCAGAATTCTTTATTTAGGGTTTTATGATATTTAAAAAGTTTTTTTGAAGGCCAGAAGAAAGTCTGTGTGCAGCTGTGTGTGTATTGGAAAAGTGAATGCCATATAGAACATGATATAACATTATCAGTGATGTAACTGACATGGTAAATCTTAAGTAACTGATTCAGCTTTCTACTTGAAATAAATCAGAGATTATGCGTCTCCTTGAAAAACTGAACCAAGACAATGATTTTGAATATATGAGATTGTCACTGTACACAATACATTGGATAGAAGACACCATCCCACAGAAATATATCATTTTAGAATTTTGAACAGCTACTTTTGCAAGTCTAAAATGTCAAAGGTGTTTTCCACAGATAAGAGATGTAGGGAAAGGAAATTATTCACTTTCTTGAATAAATGTAAGGAACTACTTTCTGAAACACATTTCTGTGGTCTTCTTTTTCTTCTTCATTTCCTCTTTTATCTCTGGGTGTCAAGGGAGATACAGAGTTCTGATTCTTGTACTCCTGTCCTCATCCATTATTATTTGATGCTGTTGTGATGTGTCTTTCATGTTGTATCTTCACCTTCTTCTAGGTATGCCTTGTGTTCTTTGGTCTTATTCTTTTTTTTTTTTTTTTGTATTTATCTTATATGGTATATAATCCCAAGACATTTTCTGCAAGTGAGCAAACCACTTAACCTGCCGTCTTTGTATGTAGTTCAAGATTGGTTCTATTCTAATTCTTTTTCTTATGATCTCATTTTTGATTTTATCCCTTCTGGTCACTCTGGCATCTTTCCTCAAACATGGTGACTAACTTTCATTAATATTTATGTGATAGCATAACGAAATGTAGCAAAAAATTGAAGGAATTTTGAAATGAGCAAGCATAACATGATTATTTTTCATATAAACTTTTAATATAGCAGAAGATAACCAGTGTAGCAGTTGGAATTAGAAACTAGGTAACTTTAAAACAAATGAACAAAAAAATCATACTCATGTATAATTCATTAGAATGTTAACTTTTTAAAACAGAATAATAGAAGAAGGAATATATTTATGGTGGAAATAGACATTCAGGCCAATTGAATGTTGCAACAAATTAAAATGTTTGTTTCTTGGTATGTCTAAAATGAGTAGGATCTATTTAACTTGCATCTTCAATATTCATTCTCTTTACTCATTCTACTGTTCCTATGGCTAGGACCACAAATCCTTACTGATCTGAATACATACTCCGGTAGACCTAAAATTTGTATTACAGATTAATTGAAGCAAGTTTCAGTCTCTTTCTCTCATGTGTCCAATGTGCCATTTTAAACAATTTACTACACAAGTGTGACTTTAAAAATTGGTTTGTAAATGAATTAGCTATATCCCATAGCAATGTGTATCTGGCATATGAGCTATTTCACATTAATAACATCTATTGACTGTAACAAACCCTAAAATATGAACCAGTAACAGAAGCCGACAACTAGTGTGGGCAGCAAACAACAGAAAGCTTCAAACAGATCTGACAAAAGTGACTCCAACAAACAGCTCTTGAAACAAATGGATCATATAGAACAGGGATGTCAAACTCAATTTCATTGAGGGTCGCATCAGGGTTGTGTTTGAACTCAGAGGGGGGAGGGGGGCATGGCCAGCTTGACATCCCTTGTGTCGGGGACGCCTGTGGTGGCCCTAGTGCTCTGCCAGCCAAAACGGGCTCCCAAGCTCTGTTTTCGCTGGCAGAAGCACGGCTGGCCAGTCCTTTGTTGTTTCCAGGGTGGCCCCGTAGGCCAGATATATGTACCCCATGGGCTGGATCTGGCCCCAGGCCTTGAGTTTGACATCCTTCATCTAGAAGACAGAAGCATAAAAAATAAAAATAAAAAAAGAGCAAGGCACTTCTGTTTCTTATGTCCTTTCTTTGGATTACAATGAAAATCTGCTCTGAGGGAAAAGCAACTGACAATTTAAACTTGTTGAGAAATAATATTCGATGCATTATTATATGTAGCTTTCTTTCAACCTTTATAAGTTCTTTTTCACTTTAAAAAGTTTAAAGTTCTTTATAAATTCTTTTTCACTTTTTTCTAGCTTTGGTGTTAATTCCATATTTGTCACAAAAGAACCATGTGACAATTGTTTTGATATAATTTTCAGAATACTGCATAGGAGTGGATTCAGATTTAAGCACAGTCGGTTTGTCAAAAGAGGAATTTCTACCCTTTCTTTACTTCTCTATAAGGCAGAATCACTTAATCTGCTTCACATGTTTTAAATCGAGATGCAACAAAATCTAAGTTTATAAGATTTGATCTTACATTCTGTTGCTAACATTCAAAGCATTCTTCGTGACATTAAGATGCTAAAAGTTGAACAGAACATTAGACAAACAGACAGATGATAAACAGAGAGACAATAGATTGCCACCCTTCTCACATAATTGTCTCTGGACATCTTGCAAGATTAAAAAAAAAAACAATTTTCCAAATATAATCCCCCAGTGCAATAAACTGGAAATCTGTCATCCATTTTAGACTTCTTTACCCTGTTTCCCCCAAAATAAGACATCCCCTGATAATAAGCCCAATCGGGCTTTTGAGCACATGGCAATAAGGCCAAGCACTTATTTCAGGGTTCAAAAAAATATAAGACAGGGTATTATTTTCGGGGAAACACAGTATTAGATTAAACAAAGTTGACTAGGTAATGTCCCCATAAAAACTTACAAAAAAAAGGAATGATTTTTTAATATTTGATCCTTCATGGGAGTTTTATTCCAGGGCTTCTATCAGTTCTTCATTGAAAATGAGGGTTGCCTGAACCATGAAATGGGCGGCAAATAATTTGATAATTAAAATAAAATAAAATAATTTTATTATAACCCAAAATGGATTTCTTTTTTCTTACCAGGTTTTAGGAGACATGATGCTGGTTGAAGTTCACAATGAGATGACTTTCTGTAATTTGTGTTCCATTATCACAAAACTGCAGATAAAACCTGAAAATAAAAGTATAATTATTTTAACGTGGTTGAAATATCTTACAATATTTACATAATTGTATGACTATATTGGTGGGATGTGGTGGCTCAGTGGCTAAGATGCTGAGCTTGTCGATCAAAAGATTGGCAGTTCAGCAGTTCAAATCCCTAGTGCCGCATAACAGGGTGAGCTCCCGTTACTTGTCTCAGCTTCTGCCAACCTAGCAGTTCGAAAGCACGTAAAAAATGCAAGTAGAAAAATAGGGGCCACCTTTGGTGGGAAGGTAACAGTGTTCCATGTGCCTTTGGCATTTAGCATGCCGGCCACATGATGACAGAGACGTCTCTTCAGCTGTGAAATGGAGATGAGCACCGCCCCCTAGAGTCAGGAACGACTAGCACATATATCTGAGGGGAACCTTTACCTTTATCTTATGACTATATTGTATTAAAAGACCATTGATATTATACAGTGTATCTTTTCCTTCTTTTTAATTCTTGGTTCCCCCCCCCCCATTCAACTGGGTCAAGGACCACTAGCCACAGCTAACTTGTTGTGGTCAGCCTTGTTCACCACATACATTCGGCAGTTCGATTCTCACCAGCTGAAGGCTGACTCAGCTTTCCAACCTTCCAAAGTTGGTAAAATGAGGAGCCTGTTCTGTCCCCCCCACCTCACATAGGCAGACACACAAGCAAAAGATGTCTATCAGTAATTTATTTTTACAAGCCGACCTGAATCCCTTTGGCAGGTAAAAATTCTGGCAGCTACTTTCCGAATGCCTACCAAGTTTCTTATCACCTCTAGAAACAGGAGTCAGCATATGTGTAGTCCGTTGCTTGGGCAACCAAGAGTTCAAAGAGTAGTCAGAAGTCATTCACAAAGTCCAAGCCTTAATTCTGAACAATATCCCATCCGAAGCTCACGATATGCAGTTTTGTCCATCACAGAGCCTGTGCAACCCCACCCACTTTTATCCCCTGTAGGGCATGGCTCAGTGACTCAGCAATCTCTGGCCCTTCCCCACCTCTTCCTTTGCTGCGCACGCCTCTCCCTCCGATGCTGCCTGGGATCAATCCAAGATTGATCTTCATCACTCCCTATTAGTGGGTGCCCCGACATGCTTTCTTCCTGGCCTTCAGCTGGAACCTGAGGCGTTGCCAGAAAGGAGGGTCCTGGAGAGGGAGGCCTTGTCAGTTCCTCCCCATCACTTTCAGAGTCATCTTCCTCCGTGAGGACAGGCTCGGGAAAGGGAGTTACAACAGAGCCAGATTGTTAGGGGCAATATGCTCCTATTCTGTAAACCACTTAGAGGTTGTAAGTGTAAAGTACTGTGTAAAGAACTGTGAAGCAGTATATGTGGCGGATAGCATTTAACCCATTAAGTTATCCCATGTGGAATTGTCCCGTGGCAAGTTGTCCTGTAGTGACTTGGATGCAGGAAGATGACAGCGGGGGGAATGGCACTGGCAAGTTGGCTGTGGCAATTTGTTCCATTCTAAGAGCTGCCATGGCACAGTGATTAGCTGTGACTGGCGCAGTGGCACAGTGGTTAGAATGCAGTACTGCAGGCTACTTCTGCTGACTGCCAGCTGCCTGCAATTTGGCAGTTCAAATCTTACTAGGCTCAAGGTTGACTCAGCCTTCCATCCTTCCAAGGTTGGTAAAATGAGGACCCAGATTATTGGGGGTAATACGCTGACTCTGTAAACCACTTAGAGAGGGCTGTAAAGCACTGTGAAGCAATATATAAGTCTAAGTGCTATTGCTATTGCTATTCCACAATCAACCTAGTTAGGACTTGCCTCTTTTGGTGACTTCCCTAAATCCTTCTGATTTTGCCTCCTACAGAGATCATTCCAGATTCACCAAATTGGCTTGCTCCCATTGAGTGTCTCACAGCTACCCCTGCAGAGCCTTTGGGTTGTTGCAAAATAAAAACTGCTCTGGCCATGTTGAAATTCTACCAAGTGATCAATCTTTAAATAGTTTCAGGAGTGGAGAGGTATAAAGCCCAAGACACTGCAACTGTCATAAATATGAATCAGTTGCCAAGCATCTGAATTTTGATCATGTGACCATGGGGAAGTTGCAACGGTTATAACTCACGGAAAACTATCATAACTAACTTTTTAATGCCATTGTAACTTTGGACGGTCACTAAATGAACTGTTGTAAATCAAAAACTACCTTTTTAACAACAAGCACTGTTCCTTCCTCTGTTTCAAAATATGCTCAGGTTTCTAACTGTCTTGTCCGAATAAGAGTTCTGAATTCTGAATTTGCATTTCGTAAGACTCCAGACTTGAAAAAAAGCACTAATAAGGAAATAACAGAGAGGAAATAATATAGAGTTGAAGTCTTGCCAACTCCAGTTGGCATCCATGTAGCTATAGAAAAAAAACTTGAAGAAAAATACTCGGGCTTAAACAATAGTGGCAAAGTAATTAGGATCCAGGTCCAGAGATGTTCAATTGGCAGGAAGAAATAGCTCAACTCCCATCTGCCCAAATCTTTTCTATGCTGTACAGTTGATCAGATTCTTATACAAAGATGATCTCATAGCCATAAATATAATGCAAGCCCCCCCCCAAAAAACCCTCCATTTTTATTGGCAAAGGGCTTCAGGAGGCCATCACAGTCGAAAATGGAGCCTGGGAAGGCCGTGCAACCTCCAACTCCATTTTCACTGGAAAAGTGCAAGCAAAACAAACTACCAGCAAAAGTGGATACCCCCAGCCCTGCCAGGGCACCAAGGTGCCCCTGACACAAGTGGTGTTGAACTGGCCAAGCCTATGCTGGCCATGCCCCCCGCCCAGCCCCCCGAGGTCAAACACAACTGTGATGTCAATGAAATCGATCTGACACCCCTGCAATATGGTAATAAAGAGACAGATGGCATCTCTTCATCCCAAATGGTGGGAGACCTGTTGTTCCCCATGGGCAGATGGAAAACATGCAAGAATTCTACTTGGAATTGACCATAAACAGGGCTTGCATTTTATATTCAGCATTTGCTTTTTCAACTTGTCTGGTTCTTGCATTAAATTTGCTTATCAGATATCTGAATCTCTGAAGCACTTTCTGTCCATCTTGGAACATTGAAATCAATTTTTTAAAAAAGCTTTATATCCGATAGTTTTGTGCACACTTTAAAAATAATGTACAAGTGTGGGGGGCATTAAGTGAATATAAGCACAAAAGATCATTGCTATTCATTGTCTCAAAGGTGCTGTTTCAAGAGGCAACTGGCTGAAGAAGCTTCCTGAATGAGAAGTGAAACATCTTCAAAGAAAAATAAAGTAAGTCCAGTTGCCTCTTGAAGAAGCACCTTCGGGACAACCATGGCCTGGATGACTGAGAATCTCCATAGACAGATCACCATTCATTATAACATGTTGTTTTTTTTTCAAATTTATATGCAGTCTTGAAAAAAAAGTTGAAGCCGGTTTAATAAATCTGTGACTATCTTAACTAAATTGATTCCTTTGGTGAATAGCATGTTTTTTTTACAGCTTCAGATGAACTTCAGTAAATGATTTAATAAATATGAAAGGCCAACTGCACCTGTGCAAGGCCAAAATAATTTATTTCAAATCTTTCTCAAAGCATATATTGTACATCTCTAGTAACAAACTGTATCTTCCAGTCATTAATTTTCAGTTTATCTACAGTTACTATAAAGCAGAGGTCTTCAAACTTGGCAGCTTTAAGACTTGTGGACTTCAACTTCCAGAATTCTGGGAGTTGAAGTCCACAAGTCTTAAAGCTGCCAAGTTTGAAGACTTCTGCTATAAAGTGATTCCAGAAATAGAATTCTGGGAGTTGAAGTCCACAAGTCTTAAAGCTGCCAAGTTTGAAGACCTCTGCTATAAAGTGATTCCAGAAATATACTTGATATCTCACTATTGATTGTTACTTGCTGTAGAAGAAATTAGATGCTTACAAACCACCTTATTTAGCCATTTTTTAAAAATTGTTTCTTGACTTCAAGATAATGATACAGCACCAAAGGAACAAAAATGATATTTTTAGACAGAAAAAAAAAGTATGCTTCCTATCCAAAAGTGACATTTACATTTACTGTAAGGTATTAAAACTCTCAACCTTATTTATACGTATAATAATAAAAAGGAAACTTTCTTCATATTTCACAGTAAATATGCTTTATCATTCTAATAGACAATTTATTCTCTGCTTTGCATTAAGAAAATTTTATTTTTTTCTGAAATAGACAAAGTTTTTTTTTTTAAGATAGGTAATTTAGCTGAATAAAAGGATTCTGGAATTAATTAGGTATAACACATCCTCAGTTTATTGGATTAGCACTTGTAAAATGTAATTACCATATTTATTGAAAAATTGCATTGAATTCAGTGGAGCTACTTGGAAGTAGTTACCTTGCTTGATAGCACTTGATAAATATGCGGTTTTCACTGCTTACAACTCCATCAAATGCAGATTACGTTGAGTATGTGATTATTCCAAAGCAATGTTTTAATGGTTTTCATTATTACAATAATTGGAAGGGTCAACTTTTGCATTTTGAATATTTAGCCTCATGCCTCAATCAACTTAGCTTCAACCAATGCAAATATTTATAAACAAGCAAGAGCTCCTGAAGCAAGTGTTCTTCTGTTTAAATACAGCGTCAAACAGCTTCCTGAAATGGCTGTTAGACAGGAAAAATAATTTACAAAATATTTTTCCAGGCAGTCTCAGTACACTATATTTACCATCGAGGCACAATTTTTAATAGACAATAATTAGGATGCTAGGAAATGTTGATTGCTAGATGAACTATGTTTGCACAAAAGAATGAAGTGTATTTTATCATATAAAATAAAAATTGCCAGGAACACTAATTATAAATGATTCTGACTATATTCTTCAGGTTGATCATTGGGGACCCCACTGACACTTCCATGCATTTTCCTCAGCAATTCCCCTGAACTATTTTGTCATTACCTTGTTCTCCTTTGAAGTATATTAATAATAGTCTAAGAACAGTATAGTA